TGCGACTGCATGGCTTTATACAGCCATGCGACCGTATGGTTGTTACCATTTTCTCCGTCGGATAGTTTCTAGTATTTTGGTCATAACTTTCTCTCCCGATGCCTGATTGAGGTGATTCAACTTGTGTTGGAAATCTAACATGAAGGGCTACGACCCTACTTCAAAAATCATCTTCTAATTCGATCATCTTCTATGTCAAAAAGGGGGTCCCAGTATGAAGCTGAAAATCGGTGCGTAACTTTTACGATTGAGAATTGATTTGTGAAGATGTTATGATCATATTTCACTTTCTTTGACTTCTAATTGCACCCAATTGACCCCTAGCATTCTTGGATCATCATTCCATCGCCCGTCTCATCTATGGATTATTTACAACTTGGTCCATGAACTTTCACTTTCTTCCATTTTTCTCCTTTTTACTCATTTCTTCCAAATTTCAACATTTTCCATCAAATTGCAATCTAGATCAAAACATAAGAGTAATGAGTGCATTTTGAAATTAAATAATCATATGAATGCAACAATTAAGTGGGAAAATATCATATTTTACACTCTTATCACACCCCCAAATTGTTTATTGCTAGTCCTTAGCAATTCAATGCAGAACAAGCAAATGAATGATTAGACTATGATACAAATCAAATTTTTAAGTTCCAACCTAACTGCAATTCATGCTCTTTTCAAACTCAACACCACAAGAACTTAACAATGCCATGATCATCAAGATATCAAAAACACTTGTCAAATGTGTGAGTGTGTGTCAAGCCATAGCCATCTTACCGTCAACCCTAAAACATGCAACATCAAGTATGTCTCGAGCTGAAGGTTTAGCTCCACAACTCACGAGTATCAAAGTGTTTAGTACGGGATTTTCTCTATGGAGCTGAGAAAGGGATACACTCAGTAATTGGAGGCTTAAATGTTTATGAATGAACAACAAGCGAACATTGATCTTATGACAGACATACTGTCAGATGGAAATTCATCACTTTCTTACTACAATCATACTTGAGATCAAAATAGTCAATGTAAAGGGTCATAATGTGGTTTGGGTTAGGTTGTATGAAAATGAGAATATAAAGATTAAAGGACTTCCAAGAATGTGGCTAGGCATTTCATTAAGCATCTCGATAGATTACATCTTTCGATCAATACACTCTTCAATATTTCAACCCTAAAATCAATCAATTTATTTCTCTTTTTTTTTTGTTTGTCTTTTTTTTTTTTTTTTTGGGGTTTGGATTTGTTATCCTATTTAAAAATAAAGATAGCAAACTTCTTTTTGAATCAACCTTTTTAAATATCGAATTTTTTTTTTTTTTTTAGGGGTGTTTTTCTTGAGCACATACTAACTCTTGTCATTTTCTTTCTTCTATTTTTCACAAATAAAAATTCAATACTCACTATATGCTTGGAAGTAAAAAGTTGGATAAGTACGTGGATAGACTATACTCCAATGTGGAGAAATATGTATAACATGGGTGTATGAAGAAAGGGCTATGCATGTGTGTATGGCTTAACATGACTACTAAGGGTTGTAATTATTGAAAAAGAAGGCTTGAAAAGCTTATATGTTAATCCTAAATTAACCTTCATCATTTCCCAAGTAACTTACTATCTTATCACAAACCATATATTCTCAAAAGAGTTTCCAATTCACAAAATCAATGAATGCTCATTGCTATTTTAGTGCAAGGTGGCTCTCGATCCTCACTAACTCTCACAAGAAAACTTTAGCAAAAAACTACTCTAGCTACATGTGCTAAACCACTATCTTACTATAGGGCTTGTGTGCGTAAAAAGATTCAGCAAATGTCTCAGCATCCAAACTTTCATAAACAACATTAATTATTAGTGGCATATATTTTCATTCAAGAACATGTAGCGAATTAGGGACTTAAAAAAACTTAGACCAAAATTCCATGTAACTCACAACAAAATTTAAGTTAAACTCTCCCCCAACTAGACATAGCATTGTCCTCAATGCAAAAATATGTCTGCCAAATAAAGGTAAGGAAATATGTCATCTGACTACCGAAGTAAATCACATGAGTTGAAGTATAGGAGGCCTGAAAGTCTCTAATGGAGAAGGTGATGCAAAAAATGAAAATAAACTAAAAAAATGCAAAACACACTAAAAAAATCTAAAACTAATAAACAGAAACACAAAGTGAAAAACGTACCTGAAAGGTGTCATGGGTAGTAAACCGTGTCTGCAAGAGGAATTTCTTCCAATGCAGGTACCTGTTGCCCATAGAGTATTTTGAGTCTCTGTCCATTCACTTTGAATACCCTACCATCATCTACCATCATTAGGGTTTTCAATTTCAACTGCCTCATTTTCAAAAGCTCGTGGTACCACAAATGGTCAAGTCCACCTAGAACGGAGTTTTTCCAGGTGCTTTTAAAGTCTAGAGTCATACAAGTACATTTTCTGATTTGGTTCAAAAGTTTTTTCTCAAAATATTTTTACCATGAAATACTTTCATTTTTGACTTGTAGATTCTAGAACTTTCGTAGGCCTCTAACTCACTCAATTGAAGTTTCCTATGTTTACCTCCCTCTTCTAGATAAAAGTTGAAGTGTTTAATGGCCCAAAAGGCACGGTGCTCAAGTTTGGCAGGTAAATGGCAAGGCTTTCCAAAGATTAGTCTATAAGGTGACATGCCTGGGAAAGTCTTAAAATCTGTATGGTAAGCCCAAAGTGTATCATCCAGTCTCAATGACCAATCCTTAAGATTAGGGTTCACCGTCTTTTCGAAAATTTGTTTAATTTCCCTATTAGCCAATTCTACTTGTCCACTAGTTTGTGGGTGATAAGAAGTGAAAATTTTATGAATCACCCCATACTTTTCCTTAGTGCTTTAAATGAACGATTGCAAAAGCATGCGCCTCTATCACTAATGATAACACGCGGTGTACCAAATCGTGACAAAACATTTTCTTTAAGAAATTTAACAATCTTTATTGTCATTGGCTCTACAAGAAACCACTTCTACCCACTTAGACACATAGTCTACAGCTACAATGATGTATAAATAGCCAAAAGAGGGTGGAAAGGGTCCCATAAATTCAATGCCCCAACAATTAAACACTTCAACTACTAAAATCGGATTTAAAGGTATCATATTAAGGCGGGAAATAGCACCTAGTTTTTGACACCTCTCACAAGATCTACAATAGCCATCAGTGTCTTTAAATAAAGTGGACTAATAAAAACCACATTGCAAATTTTTTGCAATAGTCTTTTTCATAGAAAAGTGGCCCCCACAAGCTTGGGTATGGCGAAAATCTAGTACACCGGGTATCTCCTCATCAGGAACACATCGTTTCAATATTTGGTCGGGGCAATACTTAAATAAATAGGGTCATCCCAATAAAAGTTATGTACCTCAACAAGAATTTTCTCTTATCCTGTACACTCAACTCCTTTGGGATTTCATCTACAGCCAAATAATTCACAATATTAGCAAACCATGGTAGAAAAGAGATAGTGAATAAATTTTCATCAAAAAATTTATCTTTAATTGGCAAGGTGTTTAAGTTGTCTTCAAAGGTCAGTCTTGATAGATGGTCTGCTACAAAATTTTCCAATCTCTTCTTATCTTTGATAATGATGTCAAATTCTTGCCAAAGTAAGATCCAACGTATTAGTCTTACCTTAACATCCTTCTTTGCAAGAAGGTGCTTAAGGGCTGCATGATCTGTGAAAATAGTAATTGGAGAGCCAATCAAATAGGATCGAAACTTATCAAGCGCAAAGACTACCGCTAGTAATTCTTTTTTAGTAGTGGAATATTTTATTTGAGCACTATTTAGAGTTCTACTAGCGTAGTAAATCACAAAAGGCTTACCTTCTTTTCGTTGCCCTAGAACAACTCCAACCGCAAAGTCACTAGCATTACACATAATTTCAAATGGCAATGTCCAATTAGGTGGTTGCATTATGGGTGTGGATGTGAGTTTACCAATCAACAATTCAAATGCATTTTGACGTTCAGGTGTATATTCCAAAGCCACATCTTTGTTTAGCAAGTTGCATAGGGGTCTAGATATGGATGAGAAATTTTGTATAGACCTCTTATAAAAACCTACATGACCAAGAAATGATCAATGTCATTTACCGTCTTAGGTGTAGACAATTTAGAGATCAATTCAATTTTCGATTTATCTACTTCTATCCCTCTTGAAGAAATAACATGCCCAAAGATAATACCGGAAGATACCATGAAATGACATTTTTCTCAATTCAAAATTGAGCCTTTTTCTTCATATCTAGCTAAGACTCTTTTCAAATTTAACAAACATGCATCAAAGGAAGTCCCAAAAATAGTTAAGTCATCCATAAACACTTCCATGCAATCTCTACCATGTCACTAAAGATACTCTTCATGTATCTTTAGAATGTGGAATGGGCATTACAAAGTCCAAATAGCATCCTACGAAACGCGTAAGTACCAAAAGGACATGTGAATGTGGTTTTTTCTGGTCTTCTAAAGCAATCTCAATTTGATAGCATCCTGAATAGCCATCTAGAAAATAGTAAGAGGGATGACCAGCCATACGTTCAAGTATTTGGTCCAAAAAGGGAAGGAGAAATGGTCATTGTGAGTGACAGCATTTAACTTCCTATAATAGATGCACATGCGACAACTAGTTACGATTTTTGTAGGCACCAATTCACTTACTTCATTTTTTACTACAATGACACCTGACTTCTTGGAGACTACCTATGTAGGGCTAACCCGTTTATTGTTTGCAATTGGGTAAATGATTCTTGCCTCTAGCAATTTAAGCACCTCATTCTTTACCACTTCTTTTATTGTGGGGTTTAGCCTACATTATGGGTCTCTCCTAGGGTTAGTCTCTTCCTCTAAATGAATCCTATGGGAACAAATTAGAGGACTAATACCTTTTATGTCAGCTATGGTCCATCCTAATGCAGATTTGTGTTCATTCAGAATGCTTAAAAGTTGTTTACATTGTAATGCATCCAATTCTTACAAAATAATGACAGGAAAGGTATTGCCTAGTCCAAGGAACACATGTTTCAGTCCTGTAGGAAGTTGTTTCAATTCTGGCCTAGGGCTTTCAATGCTTGATGGTTTCTTTCCTCCTATCCTTTCTAGCAATGCCTCAAACTTGGGTTGCCATGGTGAAGTCCTGCAGTCTTGTAATTTTGCAAAAACAACACAAACGTTAGCATAGTCATCAACATCAAAACCATATGAAGTTTCAAAATTTAGGAGAAAAGAGTTCGAAGGATCAATATCAATTGTTGTGGATGCTTCCTCCTGAGTGAATGCATCAATAATGTAGGTTTGATGGCATTCATCATCTTCCATAGGTCGTTTGGTGACATGGAAAATATTGACTTCTAAAGTCATATTTCCAAATGTCAACCTCATCAGATCATTCTTGCAATTGATAAGAGCATTAGTTGTCACAAGGAAAGGTCTACCAAGTATAATAGGGAGATTAGAGTTAACATCCACCTCAACCTTCGCATCTAATACCAAGAAATCAATAGGCTAGTAAAATTTATCCAGCTAAACCAACACATTCTCAACTACTTTCCTTGGTTGTATGGTGGACCGGTCAGCTAATTAATTGTAGAACCACCGAGGTGGGTTTCATCTCTCCTAGACCTAACAACGAGTATATAGCATAGGGCATGAGATTGACACTAGCTCCTAAATCAAGAAAGGCTTGTGCAGACTCACGGTTCCCAATGACACAAGAAATGGTAGGACAACCATGGTCCTTATACTTTGGTGAGATTCTTTGTTTTATCACAGCACACACTTGCTTGGTTAAAAAGGCATTTTTTTTATATGATGCATCCTTTTTACAATGCATAAGTCCTTAATGACTTTAGCATAAGTAGAAACTTGAGAGATCACATGCAAGAGAGACAAATTGATTTTGACTTGTCTGAGGTGTTTTAGAATTTCATTATGCTAACCTGTTGATTTTGAAGTGGACTTGAAAGCTTGAGGAAAAGGTATTCTAGCTAGGTTTTCACTACTTCCTCACTAGGACTGCTCTCATTAGGCTCACTTGGCTCTTTTTCGTTCTCTCTAGGTAGAGGGATTAGTTCTACAACATTTCCTGATATAGTGGTTATGGTATTCGTCTTCTTAAAATTGGTATCTTCGGATCCTGAGGTTTGTGCCATGTGCTGCCCTTTTGGGTTTGGTTGAGCTTGAGCTAGAAACTTTCCACGTTCCCCTATAGCTAAGACATTGGTTAACTTAGGCATATGATTCTTTGTCTCTTTATTTTCCTCGACTACCAGGGCAATCATAATTTGTTTTGTCTTGTGCCTCGATGAATGCATGTAGGGTGCCTTATAAGAAATTCCTAGAGGACATGGGTTGACGTGGGGGTGCATTGTAAGCTCGAGTTTGTTGGGCATGTTGTTGGTTCTCAGACTTCCAGCTAAAGTTGGGATGATTCCCCCACCTTGGGTTATAAGTCTCAGAGTAACAGGTGTAGGGTTTTGATATATGCCTAAAGCATTACAGTATTCCTCATAAAGTCCCTTTGATTAGTGTCTAAAAGTGCTTCAAAAATATATCATTTACAAGAAATTTTACATTCAATTTGTTTAAATTTACTAATGTTAATCTCTAATTTCAATTCTCTTGCTGTAAATTCAATTTCCATAAATACATGGTTAAAAATACAATTAATTGAAATAGTATTTACATACATGTCAGCATGAGTATTATAAATTTGAAAGAGTATTTATTTGATATATTTCACATGTATTTTCAATTTAGAACAAGTGGAGTAAAATAATGTTGAAAAGTCAAGAATAGTGAGCTGTCTCAAGCAAGAAGTAATTGTCAGTAAAATGATCATAACTTAAGCTGCAGACATTGAACCAAGGTGATTCGAGTTGGGTTGGAAAGATAAGGGATGTATCTGCAGCCCTTATGTTTTGCAAGTCAAATTCGTATCACAAGGCAGCCAAAATTACCATGAAATGTCCAGCTTGTTATATGCCGGATACAGCTTTTTTACATGTGAAGCAACAGTCATTGTTTTTGTCATATCTGGAGTTATATAGATCCAATGGAACCTGATATTTGCACCAATGGAAAGCTAACTCAAGTGAAAATAAATTTTCTAGTTGATCATAAGTCCAAATTCGATGTACAAAGTATCTAAAAATTGGTATCAAGTTACATGTTCCAGCTATCTTGAAGCTGGACAGAAACAAGTTACATTGTCTACTTGCATTTTGGATGTTCCTTTGCCTATAAAAGGAGACCTTGGCCAAGATTTTGAGAGTATCAATTTCTCTTCATCATATTCTAGTTTCCTTCATTTTCTTTGTAACATTTCATTATGTATTTCTAAACCATTTGCTAGAGCTGAGGGTGAAACTTTGGTGAATGTGTAGTATTGTCTTTGATCTTTCACTTTGTTCTTCAATGTTCATATTCTTACTTGGGTGAAGTATATGTTCTACAAATAGTTTTGGTTTGTTAAAGACTTTGATTTATTGTTGACAAATTTTGGTATAATAAATGCTTAGATAATCTCTACAATCCAACAATTTATTTTGACATATTCTCTCAAACAATTTTCAAGATCTATCTTCTAGTATACTTGCAATCAATGTTTTATCTTCCATATGAGATCACTTCTTAGTTGATTTTCATATGAGTTAAATAAAAGATCAAGAGCAATTTCTACCCATTTATCCAAAGTAAATCCCCAACGCTCTAGTGTACGTCTCCATTGTATTCCCACCAACCATTTACCACTCATAGAATAATTTATTTCCTTCCAATTCCCTATGGTTCGACCTCGGACTTCCGAGTTTACTACTTGCGACAACCTGCACTTGGGTTTGCAACCTTAAAGTTGTAGCAAATTTTTGACGCCCTTGTCGGGGATTTGCATCAATGATTATTTTCTGCTACTTTTTGTGAGGTTTTCTTCTCTTTCATAATCTGCATAAATCAAGTACACTCATTCCTTTTTCAATCTTATTACTTTGGTTATTTTACTTTAAAGGAAGGCCGAGCCTCCTTCATTTTTTATTTTCTGTTTATTTTCTTTCTTTAAGGGGAAGGTCGAGCCTCCAGATCTGCCGTTTCTTTATTATATGGTTGGCTGAGCCACCTAATTTTTGTTCTTTACATTATTATATGGTTGGCCGTGCCACCTAATTTTCATTCTCTACATCTATTTTATGTTATTTTATGTCATATTAGTATCGTGAATTTAATTCTCATCGTTTAGTTAAAGATAATTGTGAAACTTTTTAGTAATTTATTTGACTCACCTCAACACTCACTCACATCTTCCGCCATGGCTGATAATGAAAGTGTACATGAAGAAAATGAAAACCAACAAGCACGAACCATGTGTGATTACTTGCAACCTCCTTGAAACTCTGCTCCTTCATGTTTCATTTTCCCTCTTAATTCTAATAATTTTCAATTCAAGCTAGGTATGATTCCATTACTTCCTAATTTTCATGGCTTAGAATCCAAAAGTCCATATTTGCATCTTAAATAATTTGAGGAAGTATGTGCCACATTTAACGATCAAACTTGTCCCACTGAAATTGTTAAGTTGAAATTGTTTCCTTTTTCTCTAAAAGATAAAGCAAAAACTTGGCTTAACTCTTTAAAACCTAGGTCGATTGGCATATGGCAAGAAATACAAAGTGAGTTTTAAAGAAATTCTTTCCAGCACATAAAACTAATGCTTTGAAAAGACAAATCCAAAATTTTTCTCAACAAACCAATGAAGCTTACTTTCAATGTTTAGAAAGATTTAAAGATTTGTTAAATACATGTCCACATCATGGTTTTGAAAAATGGTGTACTGTAAGTTTCTTTTATGAGGGCCTAACTCTTGAAACAAAACAATTTGTAGAAACGATGTTCAATGGTGAATTTTTAGATAAAGATCTAGATGAAGCGTTTGAATTTCCAGATCATCTAGCTGAAAATTCTCAATCTTGTCAAACAATATAACCAATCGAAAACTCAATCAGATCTAGTCTTGCTAGTTCTAGTAGAGGAAAATATCAGTTGAGTCTAAAAAGGTTGAAACTATGGAATTAAGGAAAGTAAAGGAAGTTAAACCCATGCAAAATATGAAATTTGTAGCATTTGTGATCATCCAACACATGATTGTCCTAACATCCCAGTTTTCAAAGAAGTTTTACATGATCAAGCCAATGCTATGAACACTTTCAAAAAGCCTTTTCCTTCTCCATACTCATAAACATATAATCAACAAAGGAGAAATCATCCCAATTTTAGTTGGAGAGATGATAATCGTGTTCATATATCACAGCTTCAAGGGCTTTCAAAATTTCCTTCTTGTCCACCACCACAATAAAAAACTCTTGAGAAAACATTACAGTCATTCATGCAAGGACAAGCTAACTTGAATAATCAAACTTCACAAGGCATCAATGAAATCAAGAACACAATTTCTTCATTGACCTCTTCTTTGCATTCTCAAGAAAAAGGCAAATTTCCTGCTCAACCTCAACCAAATCCTTCTGGGCAATTTAATGTAAATGCTTCTAGTTCCTCTAAATGTCAACAAGAAAATGCCAACTCCATCATGACTCTTCATAGTGGAAAAATTACTGACAAACCCATCCCTTCAAAAGAACTAAAATCGGGTGGGACTTCAAAGCAAGAAAATGATGTTTCCAAAATTGAGGAAAAAATCATTTCGAACCTAGTGTTGAAAAATGTCCCGTTCTAGCTCCATTTCCTCAATGATTGCAACCAATTTCAAAACTCAACCATAATTTTGAAATTTTTAAACTTTTCAAACAAGTCAAAATTAACATGCCATTATTGAATGCAATCAAACAAGTTCCTTCATATGCAAAGTTTATAAAAGACTTGTGCACTGTCAAGAGGAAACTTAATGTTCAACATAAAGCATTTTTGACAGAGAATGTGAGCTCAATCATTCAACAAAACACTCCACCTAAATTCAAAGATCCTCGTTGTCCAACAATTTCTTGTGTGATTAGGAATAATAGGATAGAGCGTGCTTTGCTTGATCTTGGTGCTAGTGTTAATCTATTATCTTTTTCTGTGTATGAGCAACTTGGTTTGGGAGAACATAAGCCAACAACAGCAACACTTCAACTTGCTGATCGTTCAGTAAAAGTTCCAAGAGGGGTTGTAAAGGATATTCTAGTTCAAATTGATAAATTCTATTATTCTATTGATTTTATAGTTTTGGACATACATCCTGTTTTAAATTCAAATGTACAAATACTTGTCATTTTAGGACGTCCCTTTCTTGCTAGTTCAAATGTGTTGATATATTGTAGAAATGACATCTTAAAACTCTCTTTTGGAAATATGACCGTGAAAATGAATGTTTTTAATATTTGTAAGCAACATGGAGATAAAGATGATTTGCCTGAAGTAGTTTTTATTGAACAATTTGTTGGTGATCAATTTATCCCTACATCTTCATCTGATGTGCTAGAATTTAAATTGAACGATAATTCTAAAAATTCGCATATAATTTCTTTGTTTAATTCTTTTCAGGAGAAAAAGACAAGTGATTGGAAATCAAACAGTCCAATATGTCCATGATTTCAAGTGTTCAAATGCCAAAGCTCGATTTGAAGCCATTACCATCTAATCTGAAATACTCATTTTTGGGTGAAGATGAAACTTTTCCAGTAATAATTTCTTTCCAACTTGATGCGCACCAAGAAGGTCAAATACCATCTCATTGGAATGCTCAAAACAAAAAGAAATTCTTCAATGAGGTAAGAAATTTCTTTTGGGATGATCCTCACCTGTTCAAATATTGTCCAGACCAAATAATAAGAAGATGTGTGCCAA